TAAGATTAATGTTATTAATTATTATATAAATAAGCGATTTATCAAAAATATTTTATATACTTTTAGAATTGCAATTGAATTGAATTGAATATAAACTATAAATGATCATTATAATATATTTAAATGACATATGTTATGGTATAGTTGAATTATTTTAAACCATTAGTATCTTTGCAGAAGACAAAATTAGATATGATATCGGATCGGCCGATATAAATTTAATATCGGGGATATCGGATCGGCTTCCAAAAAGTTTTTATAAAGATAATTTAAAATATTACAAAAATTTGGCAGATCTACGTACAAAATACTAGTTAGATTTTCTGGAATTTTATTTAATTCTTCTAAATTTATAATTATTTAGCAATATAAATTATATATATTCAATTGTTCACCATAACAAATATAGTATTGTCTTATTAAACGGAGATATCTTATCTAACAAAATTCTGTATTTTTATATTTTCCCAGGTTCAAAATAGACCGGGGATAGTGTTATCACACGTCATTTTCCTTAAATATTAACCATAAAGATATGTAAAGAAAAAAACTACTTTTAAATATTTTGAAAAATTTGCTTAGTTTATTTTTTTAAAACCCCGGTCTCCCTATTAGATTTTTATATTGAAACAATCTAAGGTTTTATATGATTAGATTAGCTTCAGTTTAGTTATTCCACACATAGTCCCCATAAAAAATAGATCTCATGCATACCATAAACTTGAATATAAAATTTATTTAAATATAACAACGACAATATATTTTAAATATGAAAATATAACAAATATATATTTAAATAAATATAATTATATTTATTTATATAATTCGTCTGTTAGATTAAATATTTTGCCATCCCAAGATCTTAAGGCTAGGCATAGTTTGAACGTGTTAGAGGACATCCGATTTCTTTTTTTCATAACCGTATCTCCAGCTTGTGAGAAAACCCGCTCGCAAGGAACAGAAGTAGTTTGTTCCGCCAGAAAATCCCTCTCCATTTGAGAATGGAAATCGTGTCTGGTTTCCTCTCCATCAATCTAAAATATTAACATTTTCTGGACAAACTGGTTCCCCTAAAAATTCATCTATTTCGCTATCAAAAGCACTTAGATTTTTTTTTTCTTGATGTCATAAAATAATTATTAGATATATCATTCAATTTATACTTTTTTAATTCCTGCAAAATTGACACAGATGTCACATTATTGGGATTTTTGTCATCATCAATAAAATTAGAAATTGTCTCACAAGTTGAAGAATAAGTTTCAAATAATTTTTTAAGATCATAAGAAAGAAAGAAAGGAAGAAAGAAAGAAAGGAAGAAAGAAAGTTGCATATAAATATTTTTAGGAATTAAGGATTTTTTTATGCTCGGGTTTAAAAAAGACTCGGCATAATTGACGAAATTAGACATTTTCTCCAAATAGTCATCACATTTAATCAGCATTTTAGATGCTGCCTTATTTATTATTTCATTATTATTTTTTGTAGCTTTTATTAAATTTTCGCGAATAAAATTTAAAAATAATATTGCCATCCCTATAGTTGGCAATTGCGAACTTATTTCACAAGTTATTTTATAAAAAGGGCACAAAAAATCTTCGAGATCTTTTAATAGTTGTCGTAAATCTCTATTTATAACGAACTTATTCTTGCCTAGTGATAATTCACCTAACTCTACAATTGCCTCGATATTCTGTATAAATAAATAACAAAAATTCCTTTTGATATATCTACACGCTGGAATAGCACTCATCTAATGATAGCTGCTGTTAATAAGGTATTATTGCAAAGTATTAAATTTTATATTATTGTATACATTATTTATTGATACAGAATATCGAGGCAATTGTAGAGTTAGGAGAATTATCACTAGGCACGAATAAGTTCGTTATAAATAGAGTACGACAACTATTAAAAGATGAAGATTTTTTGTGCCCTTTTTCTAAAATAACTTAAGAAATAAGTTCGCAATCTGCAACTATAGGGATAGCAATATTATTTTAAATTTTTTTCGCGAAAATTTAATAAAAGCTACAAAAAATAATAATGAAATAATAAATAAGGCAGCATCTAAAATGCTGATTAAATGTGATGACTATTTGGCAAAAATGTATAATTTCGTCAATCATGCCGAGTCTTTTTTAAACCCGAGGATAAAAAAATCCTTAATTCCTAAAAATATTTATATGCAAAATGATTATTTTAATGATCTTAAAAAATTATTTGAAACTTATTCTTCAACTTGCGAGACAATTTCTAATTTTATTGATGATGGCAAATATCCCAATAATCTGACATCTGTGTCAATTTTGCAGGAATAAAAAAGTATAAATTAAATGATATATCTAATAATTATTTTATGACATCAAGAAAAAAATATCTAAGCGGGAGTGCTTTTGAGAGCGAAATTGATGAATATTTAGGGGAACCTTCAATGATGATCAAACAATGCCTAGCCCTATCGTCTTGGGATAGCAAGATATTTAATCTAACAGACGAATTATAAAATAAATATAATTATATTTATTTAAATCAGGGATGTGAACCCTTCGATAAAAAAAAGGGTCCAGGTTCGGGTACAGGAATAAAATTTGAAAAGACCCAGGTCCGGGTTCTGGGAACATAAAAATAATGACTCAAAATAAGATTTTTTTTCATTCATTTATTATTATACTCAATATATACAAATTCATAATTTACAAATGAAAAATTTAAAAATGAAATTAATTTATATTTTAAATGTTTTATTCAATCGCACAATCATTATATTTTCTAAAATATCATCCTTGAGATTTCCACATAAATTAGTCAATATATATTTTACAGATGAAAATTCACGTATACCCTTACCTAAAATAGTTATCTTTATAAAATTATTGTACTTGCGATGCCGCTACAGCCACGAAGATTCTAGATTAGTATATATAATTCGGATATATTGAAGAATTTTTTTCCCAGAATTTTAAAATATTTATATACTTATTTATTCTCTTAACTTCTGAGAACTTTACTATTAAAGATTCAATATGCATTTTTTGATCCTTCTTTCTATCTGATGATAATTTTTTTTTTTTCTCTATTTAAAAGTAAAATTTCAAGATCATTGTTGCTTTCATTATTATTATCACTACTACCAGTAGGTATTGTCGTAGCCTCCAATATATTGTAAATAATGGAGTTTTGAGTATGGCATAGATCCTTAAGATGGTCTTTAGCCATTTGTTTTTGCTCAATACTCAATAAAACTTGATATCGAGGGTCTAGATATATAGAAGCATATACAACACTATTTTGCAAATATTGTTGCTCTCGAATTTTCATGTTTTCTAATATTTCTTATAAAAAGGACTGTAAATTTTTCTAATCTAATCGGCGTATAATTCATATTTTATACAAATCAAATAAACATAATTGTTCTAATTGTAATCTTAATATTGTTATTTTTAAGGGAACTAATACACTACGTCCTTTATTTGGCAACAATCATCTTCCGACAAAATGACTTCACATGCTCCTATAATAAAATCATTACAGAAATCTTTCAAACTTAATAATCGTTCTAGCATCATAAAAATTGAGGACGAACGTGTTGTGCATTATCATTTAAATTAAATTATTATTACACAATTCACTTTAAAAATAATCAACGTGTTTCTCTAACATAGCATATTAAAAAATTTACATAATAAAATATTATTCCTACACTAGTGATATCAATCTCTAAATAAAATGGAAGTCCAGGAAGAAAACTGAAAGAAAAACGCGAAGATAAAATAAATGATTTCACAAAAAAAAGTTTAATAAAATTAAAAAAAATATATGTTATTTTTTTAAAAAAATTTTTTATTTTTAAAAATTTTTATGACACCTAGAACCCTTGGACCCTCCACTTTTAAAAAGGGTCCGGGTTCGGGTTCAGCCAAAATACAAGGGTTCGGGTTCACATCCCTGCTTATATCTGGTTTTTTTTAAGGACTTGCCCAATTCTGAATATAATATACATTCATTTAATACAAAAATTTTATTCAGCTGATAATTTGGTATATACTACTTATAATGTTTCTCAATGAACCAGGCATTTAAAACGCTAAAATGAGGTTGGGGGAGGTAATTATCACCAAGAAACATGTTTAAATTAAAGCCTTCGTTGGAAAAGTTTAGCGATTTATTGTGTTACCGGATCTATCCATCTAGGAGTGTTTAATAATATGAAAGAAAGCTTATTATTTTGGCAGAATTTTGATTAAAAAATTGATATTAATGAAGCATAGTTTAAAAAAATTAAAAATATGATGGGTTAATAATATGGAAGGCTGCTCATTTTTAAGAAATGTTATAAATTTGAAATTGACCTTTTAATAGTAAAATAATAAACGATTTTTTATGAAATCAGGTCCGAGGTCATCCGGCTTAATTACTTTTGCAAAGTAGCATTAGCGTAGTGTTGTTAAAAAGACCGATTCCGGTTGATTTTTTAAAATGGCCCCATTAAGATTTTTTTAGATTACAGATATGTTTATTTGCTAAATCTCGAGGATTACAAAATATTATTTTGGCCAAAATCTTAATCGGATCATTTTTAAAAGTCAACCCATAACAGGCTTTAACAACACTGCATTAGCTTTATCAAAAGGGGGTTCTACTGATTTTAAGCTAATATTAATTTTCCCCAACCATCCTCTAAATAGAATAATATCACTTCAAACCATTTTTAAAAAATATTGTATTTTTTCAAAATAGTGTATAACCAAAATTATTATTTTAAAATGTAATCCAGCCAAAGGCTTTAATGTGGGCGTCTAAATCTATCCAATAAAATTTATGGCGAAAAAGCCACCCAACCAACGTCTTTCTCTTAGTATGAAAATCCTACTTCTATGGAAAGTAGGCCAAACTTACCCTTCAATTTGGGACCCTAAATAAAATCCGAATAACGTTGCTAAATAATATTTTATCGAAGCATATCAAAAATAACTAATACTTTTTTTTAAAATTTTCAGATAAATTAGGTATGATTGAATATTTGATAAGCCAAAATGTCGACGGCTTGCACGTCAAATCTGGGTTTCCTTCCCACAAATTAGCGGAAATACACGGCAATATGTTTGCTAGGCAGTGCCACATATGTAGTAGGCAAGTTTCTTGATTAACCTTATATCTATTCATATCTTCCTCAAAAATTGCGATGATTTTTTATTGTCACTATTTTAGCCAGTGAGACTAATATAACGTAAAAGCTCTCAAGAGACGGTAAATTGAGGCTCTTTTTATATGATTGGGGGGTTTTTAAATAAATATATGGCTAATAAAAATATGCTGTTTATTTAATCGAATCCTATAAAATATAATAGAGAAAAGTTTATTTCTACATTGCTTGATATTAGAACTTTTAATCAATAGTAAATAATTAATCCGATACCTGGACTAGGGCAATTTGCGTTCCATCCTTGTAATAGTGAAAGGACTCCTTTCTATTTTTGTTAAAACACATTCTGGAACGTTCCATTTTATTCTAAAGCATCACATATAAAATCTCCTCAATCAATAAAATCCCTCCATAGAATGTAAATTTTTATGATATTTTTTTATCATTGTATCTGTTATATATTTAAAGATGGTCAGAATTTATTATGGCTTGAACATCATGTACATCGGGCCTTTTTATAATCCCTAACCGAATCCAATTTTTAAAAAATTTTAAGGTTCGATTAAGGTTTTTGCTAATTTTTTGAAAAAGTTAATTCCTCTTTATTTAAATCTATCAAGTATTGTATAATTATACAATTTTTTTAAATTATATAAACATCATATCACATAATTTCTATCAAGGGCATCACTAGATTTTTCAGTTTGATAAAAACCAATATTTTTTATTTTTTTTGGCTTCAATTGTTATTTGAAAAATTTTGAAAGAACTTTCAAATTTTAGATGGGTCGCGAGCTCCCATCCCCTTACACCACTGATTCCTATATTATAAAAAATATTATCGAATTATCTTTATCATTAAAAAGATAATCAATATTTATGACATTGTAATTTATTTGCTTTTGAATAATCTGAATAAAATATTATATACCGATAAAAAATAGTTTTTTGCAATTTTGATTTTGAAATTTTGATTAACATTTAAAACAATTAAATGACGCTTCTGAAGAACCTGACTCGAAACTATTTTTGCCTAACCAACTTTGAACTGAACAGCCTATTTCACCCAGGCCACTTATGTTCTCTCTCTCTCTCTTAAATTATCATCAAATCTAATTTTACTGCTTTTACCTCTGACTTTGTCCCAAGATACAATATAACGTTATATTATGCCACAAGAATACACTACGACTCGATTCTCAACTTTATTAATTGTATCCAGATGTATAAAAAATCTAAGAACTCAGCGCTGACCCTTGTTATAAACCTACCTTCATCACAAAATCAGATATCCACTCTTCATCCCTAGCTCCACCTTTCACTTCAAATATCATTATAAACCTTCAATTTTATTCTATCTTACGTCTTCTCTAGATCGATTAATACCTTATATAGCAACTTTAAAATTGTGATAGGAAAACTATTCCTAGCAGGTATCTTCTCACCCTTTAGAAAATTATTATATAAAAATAGCAAACATCGATTGCCGTTTCTCCTAAAGTCGTTACTGTCTCGATAACAATTTCACTTTGTCCTAAAGTTTTTCGATCATGCTTTCTTTACTATGCTTCTCAGTAGATAAATCTATTCACAATTTTAAGAATATAGTTTATGTACTGTAATACCCACAGCGAAATATCGCTTAAAATATTTTATTTTTAAATTATTATTTTTCGTTACTTTATGCAATACAATGTTAGACTTGCAAGAATTTTTATCATAACTCATATGGAGAGATTCTCTTGATCGAGTAAGATATAATCATATTACTTTAGATTAACTTACCGATTTTTTTAATTTAATAAGGATTACACTTTTTCAATTATAAGTCTAAAATATTAAGCATAAATCGTTAGCTGAGTATTATATTGATTTATTATATCCACCTTTTTAAAATGCTTTTTTTTATAAATGAATTCTTCAGTAATATATTCTACTATATCTTATACATCCACAATAAAAAAGTTAAAATATAATTGAGAATAATCATTTATTTGCATAATTACAATGTGATTTCCCTATTTAAAATGCTAGAAACTTTTTTATTAAATGCTTTCCTGAACAATAATAAAAAAAATGGTTGTACATTATTACTCAGCCGACGAGATGTCATATTTTTTTTTACATCACAAATTAATAATATTTATTGGATGATTCACTACACTTTAACATTCATGAAATAAAATATAAATTGTACCATAGGAAGTATATATTACCTAACCCTTCACCCACCTTGGGCCTCAAATTCACAGGCGAAAAATGTGATTCTATGCGTCCATTTAGACAAAATGAGCAGCCAAAGTCACAAAACGAGAATTTAATAGTCTCAGACGATTACAGATCTTGCAGGGGAAAACTAAAAGATACCATCTTGGATTGGGAGGATCAACTACCATTCGGGGATCTCAAAAATTCTGAAAAACATTCCAAGTTTAGCATACAATTTCTGAGTAACGTCACCAGGGGCTTGAGCTCCCTGAAAAATTTGAAGAGCCCCTTCAAAATTTTGAATTTTTTTTATACCACTAAAAGAAGGTATTAGTAATTTTAGTTAAAAAAGGTAATTTTATATTATGTTAGCTTAAAAAAAGAAGGTAATTTTCAAAATAATTAAAAAATATTTTTTAACCCCCAAGATTAAAGGCTAGTGACTCACCTGCAATTTATTTATTTGCTATTAAATTGAAATATTTTTTGGTATAAGTGCCAACCCCCCTCCAAACTTCTAATTAGCAATATCCTAGATAGAGATACCTCCTAATCTCATTGACGCAATATTTAAAATATTTTTGACCCCATTCACTTTTAAATTGCCCCCACTCACGATAACAAGATCCAGAGACCCCGATTTTATTGAGGACTAAGTTGAAGTTAAGATATATATGAATTCAAAAATATTTCTCACATTTAATATATATTTTTGTAATTTTTTTGGGCCAAATAGTACATATAGTTTCTTTCAGAACTGATATATTTTGAGTTTTTTGTATTTGTTCCATACTTTTTATTTACTAAGACCATATTGTTTGATTATATTGCCTGACGTAAACATGTGTTTATTAAACTTAATAATTTTTTTTTAATTGATATTTATGTTTGAATTAAATTTGACGTTCAAAATTTCGAAAAAATTGACAATATGTGTCGAAACTAGAGGTCTGCAATTGGCAGATTTTAACCCAAAAGTTAGTCCGCCCATTGTTTTAAAAATTTTTACCGTTTGCCTACGCGTAAAATTATGATCGGATGGTTTGGCTTTTTATAAATTTTATTTTGGCAACTTATAAAATATGCAATAATATGAATAATAATTTTTATTAAATATAATCTCTATCGGTTCATTACGACTGAAAAGTTTTAAATCAATCTACCAGTTCATTGTTTAGAAAATATTTTAACCCGCTCATCCATCCGCCCAGTTAAAACTTTTTTAATTCGCCAGCCCACACCCGCCTAAATTGTTTAATTGCAAAAAAGTTGAAACATTGGGTTAAATAAAATTAAGGGTAAGATTATGGTTTGTGAGTCATAATTGCCATTAGTTACCATTTATTTATTTGTAATATGATTGGTTGAATTTTTTTTATTTTTTATTGAATGATATCTTTATTATCGAAAATCATTGGTTGTTAAATTTTATATATTTTTTAGAACAAATTTTAATTTTTAAAATGACTTTTTAAAATTATTATTTTTTTTAATATTGAAAATAAATGATAAAATATTTATTTGAAGATAAATTTTTTTGTGGATCCGATAGAATATAATTACCAAGTAGAGCGTCTTTGTCGCGATCTCGAAACAAAATATGTTAAATCTGGGAGGTCCTGTATATGGAAGATATGGAAGATTTATTATAAATATATATAATATATACAGGCGCGTACGCAGGAATTTGGTCTGGGGGGGGATAATAAAATTTTTTAAGAAATATTATTGTTTTTTATAAATACCAAGCATAAATTTATTAGGACTAATAACTATTTCTAATACACAATTTTAAATTAATGTGAATTATAAAAAATTTATATGTAAAGAATCACTTAAATGACCCAAAATAGAAATTTGAATTTTTTGAGCCTTTACACAAAAATTTTCTTAGGAATAATTGTATTTTGTATGTTATATATTTACAATGTAAAATCCAATCTTCATTGTAATTGAGCTAATTTTTCAATTATCTCATCTTTGCTTGTCGTCAAATGCCTATGAATATTCAAAAGATCCAAACCTTTCAATCTACTTTCAGATGTTGTACTTCTTGGTATGTTTTTCAGAGACCTGCAGGCCCGGCCCCTGGGTCGGACATTATTTTAATTTTTTTAAATATACCCGAGCCGGGCCTGAATTTTAAAAAAAAACACCCAATCCGGGCTGTATTTTTTTAAACAGCCTATATTTGAAATCGTTATTATTAGCTATAAAAATCAAAAATAAATATAATTTATTTTAAAAAAAGTCGGGCCGAGCCTGAAAATTAAAAAAAAAAGCCAAGTCGGGCCTAAAATTTTTTTTAAAAAAAGCCGGCCCGGGCCTGAAAATTTTTTTAAAAAAACCCAGGCCGGGCCTAAAAAATCTTTAAAAAAATCCGGGCCGTGCCCTGCAAATGGTACTTTTGCAGGCCTCTATTATTCTTCTTAAAAAAGAGAATGTGCTCTCATTAGTTTACTAATGGGAAGCGTTTATAAACCCTTTTAAACATTGGGAATTTAATCCAAAATGTGTTTGAAATAATGAAGAGCAACCATAGCATTTTTTGGGACTATATCAACCATAGTTAATCTTATAAACATAGTTATTCAGCTAGTATGGCATCATAAGATACTTTAACATCTTCATAATAAAACTAACAAATATTTTTTTTTCTATCACTATCTGAAAAAGGTTGGGAAGGTTTTTGTGGGAGTAATATTTGCAGATTAGTAAGTGCTGCATGATGAATTAAAAATTCATTTATTTGGGTTATAAATGTATCTGTATTTAAGATATACTCTTCTACTGATCCTATATTAATGTTTTAACGATGAGCTTGCCTTGCTCCAAGTCGAGGGAGACAAATATTAAACACGTATAGCTCTGCTTTTGACTCAACAATAAAATATGAAATTCTTCATCAACATTTGCCCTAATTTCCTTGAGTTCTGATAAAATGCTCTTCGCTATTCTCATCTTCTTAATCAAGTCAATGTCATGTTTTTGAAAAGTAATATTTAAAATAGTTGCATAATTAAATAATACATTCTAATGAGAAATAAAATTTTTAATAAGCATTGAATCCAATAATTTTCTTGCTTCTGAGGAAATATTTCATTTCAGTAATAGCAAATAATTGGCGCATCTAATTCCTTAAAAGCTGTTACTGCTTGATGGCAGAGACTCTATCTCGTTTGACAAGGTTGCAATTTCTTTTTCCCTGTTGGACTCAGAAATAATTATTATTTTAGAAATTTGAAAATCGTAGATAAATATCACGCCACTAAAAATTTCAAAATAATAAGTAAATATTACGCCGGAAAACTTGAAATCGAAATTAATTGATAAAATAACTTAGTAGACAAATGTGATAATAAATATAATTAAATATATATTTAATATGAGATACAAATATATATTAACAAATATAAATTAATATAAACAATAATATTTTTGAAAAATATATCCGGTATGCATTTTTTGGCTGCTGCGTACGACAATGAATATATATTTTGTTACACATTTTTATATTTTAAATTTGAAAAATAATTTTAAATAAAGATTCAAGTAATTAATTGTATGCTCAAATAATATATAATTAGAAAAAAAGCTTATAAGTAATGATATTAGTGACCATTGAGCATTTGTTAAAAAAAAATTATAATTCATAAAAGTATGCAATCTAAATAAAAAAAACAATTGGAAAAGGTGGTATCTTAATTACAAAACCCAATTTGCCCTTCCCTTTATTTAAATTTTGTCCTGTCCATCTTATTTTTTTTTATCTTTTTACAAAAAATGGCTAAATAATTTTCTATAATATAAATATTCAACAAAAAAATATTTAAAAAATAATATGTGTAAAAATTAACAGCCAATGATTTTCGATAATAAAATATCATTCTAAAAAAAATTTTTTTAAGATAAATACATATTATTCCTTTTGTTATTTTATTATTTTTGCAAATATTATAATTTTCTATGAATGGGTTTGAATTTAATCGTCAATATGTTTCATTAAATCACCACAACACTGTAAATAAAATTCAATCAATCGTATGACAGATAAATAAATAAAAGATAGCCAATGGTAGTTATGGCTCACAAACCACAATCTTACCAAATTAATAAACTAGAAATAATTAAATATAAAATTAAAATGCCTATATTTATAAATCATATCATTTCATCATTTAACGATTTTAAGAACAAGATTAAATCATAAATTAAATAAAAAACAAAAGTGTAATAATATGATAATATTAAAAAGTGCAAGTTATAATCATGTTCATCCCCTTTGTGAATAAAAAATTATCTCCTCATCGTCTATGATAATTCCACAATTTTACCAATAATAAACATAATTTAATAATGTACATTTAATGAACTACCAAAATATTACTCACATAATAAAAATTAAAATTTTTTGCTCTCAGGAAATCCAAATTATTTGTCTGTTTAGGAACGTCGTTGCAAATTTTTCCATGCGCTAATTTTCCTAGGATGGCTAAAAAGAATGGAGCTAAATTGGTCATTATTAACCTCCAAAAGACAAGACTCGTAAATAAATTTTATTAGATTTATAATGACCATTTATAGAACCAAAAGTTAATTTAGCCATTGATTATTATATTTTTTTAGTAATTTTTACCATCTTTTATGCGAACATTAATTCATTATATTAACTAATATTTTATTGAATTCATTTAGTATAAGATACTATAGGAAATTGAATAAAGAGTGCAGTGGTTTATCAATATAATTCTATTATATTTTTAATGTTTAATGATATAAAACTTAACGTGATTATGACACAAAACCACTGAAGATAATAAATCGTTTATTTAACACTAGCTGATAGCCCGTCGAGAATGACGGTGAATCAGAATTTTCTCCTTATGGATAAATAATAAATTTTACCTTCATTTGACATTGTGAATCAGAATTGAGAGGAATATATTATCTGTATTCATTCTTCCAAGATTTCTATAAATTTTTAGAGAAAAGGCCAAATATATTATGGAAAATATGGAATAAAAAAAATGATTTATGAGTTATGATATTTATCAATTCTTTTAGCAAATTTTCCACATCCAGACGCAATAATTTTTGCCCTCTCACTTTGTATAAAATCTATATCCATCTCAAAGAATTATTTAAATGCTTTTAAAACCTTTTTAAATACTCTTTTAAAAAAAGACCTGCCACATAATAGATTCGAATCAATTATGGGGCAAACCTGCTTATCTCACAAACACTGTGATGGTATCCACCATATTGCAATGGGCTATTTAGAAGATTATTAGCAAAAATAATTGCTAAGGGTCAAAATCCAGGGTTTTAACTTATTAAGTCAACGTATCATTTAGGATTTGGTGTTAAGCGAGAAGGCAAAATATTCACATGCCATTTGTATTATATCCAAAATCCTCCTAACATGGCTATTATCAAAGTAGACTTTAAAAATGCTTCAATAGCAAATAAATTAGATATCATTTCTTCTCTTTTCTACGTGTTTTAACTCAAAATTTTTTTCAAACAATTCATAAATTGTTTTTATCCCAAATTTCCTGTTTATTCAAAATTCCTAAAGACATACTGTAACATTAAAACTCCTTTATTCAGTCCACGTGTCATAAATTCTGACGAAAAGATCCAGCAGGGGCACACCTTTTACCTTGGTATTCATTATCAAAACAAGGTAAATTTCTAATTCACACCTCATATAGGCTTATTTCTGATTTATCCAAAATCAAATTAAGGAGAATATTAATTCCTTGTCATTTTTGTGGGACATTAAATAATAATCATATAAAATGCAAATATTTATTAGATTGTGGGAATGGATTCTTCCTTAAGGTTTTTTTATTAACAATGGAAGCCACAAAGCACTTCTTTGTAAATTGTTATCCACAGAGTTTTGAATAAGTTTGCATCTTCTCATGATATGGATCCATTCTTCAAGATGATCTTTTGATAAGAAAATATATTTTGATATAGGTACAGGGGTTAGGCCATATTTTAATTTTATTAAATATACCCGGGCTGGGCCTAAAATTTTTAAAGATACCCAGGTCGGGCTGTATATTTTAAATAGTCATTATTATCTATACAAATTGAAAATAAATATAATATTTAAAAAATCCAGACCGGGCCATGCCAAAAAAATTTTTAAAAAAAAATCTAGGGCAGGCTGTGCAAATGGTACATATAGGTCTCTTATATATATTACCTTCAATATAAATATATAATCAGAAAATATGAATTTTCATTATATTAATTTCATAAAATCTATAAAAATTATATTTATATACTCAATAAAAAAATATTCCTAAATTAATTTTTATACATTCATTTGCAATTTAAAACCAAAAAAATTAATCTTGCTAGATGAAGGTTTTGCCTAATTTAAACAGACTGAAAGATATTGGGATGTTGAGTGGGAGGGTTAAAAAATATTTTTAAAACAATTTGTAAGTGAATTTGAAATATATTTCAAGCAAAATGAGTAACTGACATATTTATTATTAGATATTATTTTTTTATTTCATAATTTATAAGTTTAAGTAAAAAACATTAAAATAATACAAAAAGAGCCAAATCAACCAATATTTTTTAAACATTGGACAGGTAAATTAAACAATTTTTTTAAATAAATGAGCAGGCAGGTGCACCAAAACTTGCCCATTGCAGACCTCTAATCAGGATGACATCGAAAACAGCAGATCATAATGGATTTTACCTCTGCCAAAGAATTCATTTATAAATGATATGCGTCTGCCACTTTTGTTTTTTCATGCATTTACCATTTACCACTACAGGTCTGCAAATTACAACATTTTCAGGCGCAATGGGAATTTAGTTAATGCCCATCCCAAGTTTTGCTTGGCCCAATTTCAATTTTTTTAAAGATTGTAACAGTTATAAATTATATAAAATCCAAATATTTATAATGGAAAGCACAAAGCACTCCTTGTACAATGTTTTCCTAAGTTTTGAGATTTTATTTATCTAAATAAAATTAGTTAAAAATTATACTTTTGAAAAATGAATATTTTACCTGGAAGAATTTAGCTAATGATAGATACTACCAAATCAACATATAGCAATTTTCTAAATATCAACCTAGTTTGCTAAATACCTACCAAAATTTATTAAAATGTAATAAGACCCATATTATTTTCGTGGTCGAGTCCGGCCTCCTATATTTAATCCCCCCAAGGACGGAACCACCAAGTTGGATTAAGAAAAAAAATGAACTTTGCTGGGATAAGAACTCAAAGCAATCGGATTTGTAAGTGACGCTCTTGCCGATTAAGCCACAGACGCTTTTCAAAATTCACGATTTTTTAAATATATATTATAAATAAAATTGTTCAAATGAAAAATAAACAAAATACAAATTTGATAGGTACTACCTTAAGGCAATACCTTTTATTAACCTAAGAATTTTAGAATATATGTTATGGTAGCTTAAATAAATGAATGTTTGATACCGTATGATATTAACATTGGACCAAATAAGCTATGGTTATTTTTATTGGACGAATATTTTTTAAAAAAATACTATTGTCTATTAGGTTGTGACACTGTGAGACGCGGCTTTTATATATTATAGATATCTATTAATCAGATTCGTGAATGAATGCAAAAACTGAAATTATTATATTTTTTTAAATCATAATGCTTAAATATTACATTTTCCCATATTCAAATTCACAACTTTTGAGTCTTCTTAACTTTCCTTGATCTACTGGAGAATATCTTTTCGGGTATTACCGTTAACTATGGATGTAAAATAAACTTTTTTATTTCCAACATAAAAAAGCGGGGAAAAACAAGCTTAAATATTAAAACTAAATTATTAAACATTAAAAAAAATTCCTAAAAATTTGGTTAGTTATTTTTTCAATAATACAATTTACCAAAATGAGCAAATTATAAAATGATTGTAATAATAAAAATTCTCTACAAAATATTGTTTTATTTATATTTGTGATTGTAATGATGAAAAATTTGCAATAAGATGTTTATAGATTATATTATCTACAAGGAATGTAATGTTAATAAAATAAATTATGCAATATTGTAAATCTTTTAGTTTTCCATTATTCACTCCTTTATGAGAAATTAGCGATCTCTTTCTACCTTTTCTCCCCAAAACATGGTTTTATCCTCCCTCCACTAACTCCTCCTTTGCGGTAACATGAAGCCATCATGACTCAATCTCTGATTCAGATGACATTTCCATCCCTGATCCTGGCTTTGGCCATTCTACCCTCTTCACTTACCTCTCGGCACTACTTTCCGGGTTCTTTTCCTTATTATTCGGTTCCCATCATTCCGCTCATAGAAATATAATCCATTTCAGGTATTCACGATTTCTTTCCACCAACCTGAATTGGTTGATTCACGAAATTCTTGTGGGTTGAAATAAATATTATATTATATATTTTCTGCCGGCGCATTTATAAAAAAAGAATAGACTAATCACAATCCAAAAAGGAATGAAAATTTCAAATTCATAATTTTTATTTAGGCATATTTTTATCACAAAATGATATAAAAAAATAATGATGAATTTAAATTAAATATATGATAGTTATTAGTATGTTTTTTCACTAATCTATTTTATGCAAGTATCGTTAGTATTGGCTCTATACTCGGTATTATTTGTACAATTATTGTATCTATGCATCTCTGATAGCTGGTTATTTTTTAACTACACATTAGAAATACAATTGACTTTTTTAAAATTCAAGATTAAAATGTTATTATGATTTATTTATTGTTTTAACTTTAGAAAACTGTTAATATGACTGATTATATTTTATTATTCAAAAAATAAAGTTATATAATTTTTTAGATAAATTTTATATTTCTTACCTTGAGTAATATTCAAAGTATCTTAAAAATTAGTTTTTTGTAAAATCTTATTTTTTGTAAGATATTTTAGTATTGAATAGTAACAACATACTAAAAAAACGTTAATTTTATATAATTTTTTATTTCACTTATTTTGTGAATACTTATAAAACTGATTAAAGAAATTGTATATAAACTGTAAAATATTAATGTAAAATATCATAATAAATATTTTGAAATAAAGTTTATTTTTACCTATACCTTTTTATACCGTGCCTTCCATAAATATTATGGTGGCAGTTAATAACTACCTGTTAGTCATAAAGTTACCTTCGAAATACACTATTAAACGAATTTATGATGAAGCTACCAACAATTACGTTTACTTAAGACACAAAACCAGGACGATTGCTCATGTATATTACGAAAATTTTGACGACATGCAACACGTTTACAGGAGCATCAACAACAAGGAATATATAGACAGCGATGGAAAAAGATTTATTTTAAAAGCGAAGATGTATCAAAAATATTAAATAATTGTAGTATGATATATATTATGAATTTCATATAAATTATAAATAATTAAATATTAAAATATTATAAGATTATAATAAAATGAAACCATTGAAAAATTCTATACTTGAATGCCCTATATATTGTAATAACGTAGAATATTTCTTAAAAAGACTTGATGCAATACTAAAAGATCCACAGTATACAGAGGCTGAAAAGGCGTATGCTTTCACACAAAGACTTCCAGAAGAGGGATATCTAAAATTAGAAGCTATTTGTACGGTGGCAGAATTCACTAACCCGGCTATCGTTATCGAAAGGTTCAAGCTTTTACATCCGGAAAAATTGGTGGACTCTTACATAAAAGAATTCAATGCAGCTGAACAAGTAATAGGTGAAACGTTCGAAAATTGGGTAGGCAAAATATGTAGATTAAATACTAAATGTAAATATGCTAATTTTGATAGAGCGATAGAAAAAATAAGAGTGTCGACCATTAACATAGAATTACGAAAAAAATTGCAAAGTTAGAAGGGTTAACAATATCAGAAATATTAAAATTAGGAATGGAGTTTGAGGAACAAGAAGCTGTCGTAAATATAATTAATAAAACAGAAAATATAAAAATAGAAACTGACAATGGAGCTATCAAACAAATAGAAGGACGCAGGGATGATAAAATGGATAGGCGCATGGTTAAATATGATGATCATAACAAAGGGTCTTACGCACAAATGAATTATACAAATAGATATCAATGGACACCAAGATTTAACAATTATCAAGGGAACAATTATCAGGGGAGCAACCATCAATGGAACAATTATCAGGGGAATAACTACAACCCAAGATATCAAAACAGTTATTACCCAAGACAACAAAATTTTAATCCGCGATACCAAAACAACTATAGATATCGAAACAACTCTAATTCAAGATTCTATAATAGAAATAATTATTATAATAATGATAATCGATACTACAATGATTATAATAATAGATTTAATAGACATCAAAAAGAATCACGATATACACCTCGTTACAACAATAATCAATTACAACCAATCATATAACAATAGAAATCAGAGCAATAACAATCAACTCAGATACTCTAACAACGTAAACACTGTCGATATAGAGGAGATAAAAGAAGATAATAATGATAAAATAATAAAAAAAGAACACAATTTATTTAATTTGGGTGCAAAGAACTTGGACGAGGACAATAAAGCAAATGATGCATATAAAGTAACAGTATACATAAATGATGTCCCTACGATGATGCAGATAGACACTGGTTCAAGATACACAATATTGCCGATTAATATTGCAAGAAAAATAGGAATCAAAATCTTAAATAAATCGGACATAAAACTCACGGGCTATGATGGCAAGAGAATAGAAGTATTGGGAACTACACAAGTCAATGCAAGATTTGAAAAGAAAACTCATAAATTAAACGCGTATGTGGTTCAAAGTGACAAGATTGCACTTCTAGGAAGGACCTGGATAAGAGTTTTTGGAAATATATTGGATAAATTTGTAAATCAGATCGAAGAAAATCATAATGATACGATAGAAAATTTGATAAAAGAATGCAAGTCAAAAATCAACAAAAAACCGGTCTGTAGAAGCAACGTCAAGTTATATCTAAAAGAAAACGCCACACCCAAAATAATACCACCAAGAAGAATTCCATACAAAAGAATTGATTTAATAACAAAAGAGTTACAGAAATGGCTCGACAACAAGATAATAGAACCAGTAGAGGACTCCTGTTTACAAAAGTGATGGATCGCTCAGGTTATGCGCGGATTTCAAAAGCACGGTAAATCCTGCTTTGGAGGACTTCAAATACCCAATTCCACGGATAAACGATCTAATTGCAAAATTATCAAAAGGAAAAAAGTTCACCAAAATAGATTTCAAAGAGGCCTTCTTGCAAATTCCGATCGACAAGAATAGCCGAAACATTTTGACCATTTCAACACACAAAGGGTATTTATTATCAATTCACAAGACTACCTTTTGGTTTAAAAACTTCATCTGCGATATTTCAAAGTACCATGGATCGAATATTTGGGGATATGAAGGACGTGATATTCTACATAGATGACTTACTGATAACTGGTGATAATAATGAAATACATATTAATAATATAAAAAAAGTCTTCGACAGAATAACTAAATATGGGCTCACACCAAATTTCGAAAAAAGCGTGTTTATGAAAAAAGAGATCAGATTTTTAGGACACGATATAGATGAAACTGGAATTCACCCGAACGAAAACAAAATAGATGCCATTACAAACATGCCAAAACCGACAACAAAAGAAGAACTAGCGACATTTTTAGGCATGGCCAGTTATTACAGGAAATTTTTGTGCAACTTTGCTGACTTAGCTGATCCTCTTTATAAAATGGTTAACAAGGAAAAATGGATATGGGAAGATGCGCACCAAAAGAGTTTTGATGATTTGAAAACGTTGATTAGTAGTCCGCCAACTTTAAATTTTTACAACCCTGATCTACCAATTGGAATTGCGACGGACGCATCGAAAAAAGGACTAGGAGCAGTCTTATTTCACATCGAAGGAGATGGTAAAGAAAAACCTATTGCGTTCGCATCAAGAACTTGGTTAAAAGCTGAAACAAATTATACAAATATCGAAAGGGAAGCGTTGTCTATAATATTCGCGGTAAAAAAATTTCAGGAATATTTAATAGGGACCAAATTCGTAATAATAACCGACCACAAGCCTCTTATATACATTTTTTCATAGACACTCAAAGAAAACACTACAATATCGATGCGTTTACAAAAATGGAACTTGGCAATGGGAGCGTATGACTATACAATAGTACATAGACCGGGGAAAAGAAATTTAGTGCCAGATTGCTTATCGAGATTACCACAGGAAAATAAAGAAAACATGATAAAGAATGTTGTAGTTGAAAAAAATCAATTAGTTAAAGAAACGAAGAATGATAAAGAATTAATGGAGATAATTGATAATATTAGAAATAATGAACCAATAAAAAACAAAATATACAGAAACATGGAAATGGAATTGAGTGATAAAACATTGTTTATTTAAAGAAAACAGAGTAATAATACCACTGAACATGAGAAAAGAGATTTTACACGAACTGCATAAAGGACATCTGGGTGCAGGCAAAACAAAAATGTTAGCGAGAGATTATTTGTGGTGGCCTGGTATAAACACGGAGATAGATCTGGAGGTAAAAAATTGTGACTCATGTAATAGATTTTCGGACAATCCTCACAATATACAAAACCTATGGGAACCAGAGATTTTTGAACGTGTACATATAGATTTTGCACAATTTGAAAACAACAATTTTATGGTATTTGTGGATGCATATAGCAAATTTCCGATTAAAAAACGAATGAAAAACATTACGACGGAATCAACAGTAAAAGAATTGATGAGAATAATAAGCTTATTCGGAATACCACATAAAATCGTGACGGATAATGGTACGAATTTTACTAGTCAATTATTTAAAAAGTTTTGTGAAGATCATGGCACAATACACATACTTACAGCACCTCATCATCAACAATCGAATGGGCAATGTGAACGGATGATAAAAACTATGAAAATGAGTCTTAAAAGAAATATGGAAAATAACACGAACATAGATTTGGACATAGCTTTAGAAAAATTTTTGTTTAATTATAGAAATACGCCGAATGATACAACAAATATGATACCCAGTAAAGTATTGTTTTCAAGAAATATCAGGTGAAATGGGACTTAATCAAACCTACGGAAGATAACGAGAATGTTTTAATGCAAGAATAGAGAAATAGGAATAGGAGACAATATTTGGTACAAAACGTTTAAAGAAAATATTTGGGACAAAGGAGTAATAGTACAAAAAGAAGGATATTTACATTTAGTATTTAATCTACATATTTTGCTTACCCAATTTTCGAACGTTTCATTTATTATTTGTTCAGCTGCATTGAATTCTTTTATGTAAGAGTCCACCGATTTTTCCGGATGTAAAAGCTTGAACCTTTCGATAACGATTGCCGGGTTAGTGAATTCTGCCACCGTACAAATAGATTCTAATTTTAGATATTCCTCTTCTGGAAGTCTCTGTGTGAAAGCATACGCCTTTTCAGCCTCAGTATACTGTGGATCTTTTAGTATTGCATCAAATCTTTTTAAGAAATATTCTACGTTATTACAATATATAGGGCATTCAAGTATAGAATTTTTTAATGGTTTCATTTTATTATAATCTTATAATATTTTAATATTTAATTATTTATAATTTATATGAAATTCATAATATATATCATACTACAATTATTTAATATTTTTGATACATCTTCGCTTTTAAAATAAATCTTTTTCCATCGCTGTCTATATATTCCTTGTTGTTGATGCTCCTGTAAACGTGTTGCATGTCGTCAAAATTTTCGTAATATACATGAGCAATCGTCCTGGTTTTGTGTCTTAAGTAAACGTAATTGTTGGTAGCTTCATCATAAATTCGTTTAATAGTGTATTTCGAAGGTAACTTTATGACTAACAGTATTAGTATGTTTTTTCACTAATCTATTTTATGCAAGTATCGGTAGTATTGGCTCTATACTCGGTATTATTTGTACAATTATTGTATCTATGCATCTCTGATAGCTGGTTATTTTTTAACTACACATTAGAAATACAATTGACTTTTTTAAAATTCAAGATTAAAATGTTATTATGATTTATTTATTGTTTTAACTTTAGAAAACATTTCTTTAATCGTTCCTCTTAATAATTGAATTAAAAAACCAAAAATATTTTAATAAATCTTTCGATTATTCAATTTTTATTTGTCCACCCTGAACCTTATATTATTAATATCATATATATGAAGGATAAAATTAGCGATTTAACTATTCACTCCTATGTAGACGATGTGATGGGCATGGTAATGAAAAATTTGGAAGATCTTGACCATAATACAGATGCAATATATTAAGACCGAAAAAAAATGTTTTTTATTTTTATCCTCGAAAATATATTGTTTGTAATTGTAATTATTAATGACTGTAATATTCTAGTTTAAATCATTTAAGAACTTTGGAAATCTATACACTATAATACAAGTATTTTACTTTTATATGCAAAAAGGCTTTAAAAATCTTATATAATTTTTTTAGTGCTAGAAGGAGATATGATGATAAAAATAATCAATAAATTTATTTTGTATAATTGAAAAATATTGCATCATTTCTTGTATAAAAATCTATGTATACATCATTTTTTTTAAATTGATAAGAAAGTATATTTTTTTGTTCTTAGATATCAAACCGCGCATACTTGTTTTTTAAATAATATTCCCTGATTATTTTGGCTTATTAAAAAGTTAGACAAACATCTGGCGGCACAACTATTGCATTGACATCTTTCTTGCGCACATTTGTGATTTTTCGATTCTTCTAAACCCGATTTATTTTGAAAAAAATAATATTTTGTTTTAATTTCTCAAATAAAAGAAAAATGGAATGCAATAATCGATAAAAAGGTAGTAAAATATTAATAAAAGTTTTAAAAAAAGGAAGTAAAAAACAGAGTTAATACAGAAACGTCTGTCCTATCTTTTATTTTCAGAGCAGGACACGTCACTAGTACGCTTTTTCTGGATAGAGCCTTCCTTTACCAGAAACTAATATAGTTGCTCTGAATTAAAATTTGACTTTCTCTTATAAATAACAAGGAAGGTTCACTCGAAAAAGAATTTAAAAAAAGAAAATAGGGTATTTAAATTAAAATATACCGCAGTATATGTCGTACGTAGGGAATAGTGAAGATGTGGTGTAGTCCAAACACACCCATAGCTCCTCCTTTATAACACCGTTGTCTAGAAGATAGTGGCATTCAGGATTATTTAGGAACAATCTCTGCAAACATTTATTCCTACTTAAGCAACATCTTTGTTAAATATAAATAATTAACAAATGTATCCTAACAGTACATATCTAATTAAAGGATTATAATTCTATTAAATTATTTAAAAACTGCGATATAATTAACAAAAAATTATCTTACTTATCTGCCTCATCAGTCATATTTGTTTCTGAATTGGTACTTTTTGGGAAACAATGACAACCATAGTTTTGAAAATGTGTCAAAAGTGAATGTTCTAATATTTTTTGGCCTGTAGCTGGATCGAACATTAATATATTTCGCGTTAAGCAGTCAAACATTTTTCTGAAACAAATTTTAAAAATATAAAAAATTGAGACGTCATTTAATTTCGCACATGGATCAAATATATATATGCAGGCCTGTTCGATTGGCTTATTACAATAAACAGGCCTGGTATACCTCTTTGTACAGCTCTCTTTCGACTTTAGTTTTACTGCGGTTAGGCTTCGTTTTTTCCGTTTTGAAAAATTTTTTTAAAGCTAGATTCACCATCCTAAGGGCATAACCAACCACCCCGGGCCGATTGCAGACTTCTAATACGATAAATATTTAGAACATGTATATTATATAGATGGACTCATGGTTTAGAAATGGAGTGCTCTATCTGGCATTTTTAGAATAACAAAGTTAGTACTCAATAAGATTTATATTCATGTTTGTCGTATTGAGCCATCCCTTCCAGATCTTTTTTATCTACGACAGTGGCGTTGCTAGCTTTTCAACTTAAAAAATATATAAATAGTATATTTTTATTAGAGATCTGCAAAAGTAGCCCTATACCCCGCCAGGCCCAAACGGGCTTCGGCCGAGTTCGGGCCTATTTTTAAAAAAAGAAATCGGGTACGGGCTGGGCCGGGCCTAATATTTTTTTAAAAAATTTAAGGGTCGGGCCTGGCTTTGGAATTTTTTTTTAATATATCTAAATTTATAAATTTTATGTTGAATTTTTAATGTAAAATAAAAATATTTGATTTTATTTATAGAAACTAGACGCCATATAACATATCATTTATTTTGAATAATTATAAAAATTAATTTCTATATTTAAATAAATTTAGGCCTAGCCGGTAAACTTTTTTAAAAAAAATTCGGCTTAAAAAATCACTAATATATATATATCATAAAATTTTGAGTAGTTGACTTTATAACGAGTTATAAATTGTTTTTTCCAAAAATCAGCTTCCGTGCTAAACGTATTTTCTACGGGAGTGTTTGATATAAGAAATTTTATTCAATAAGCATTCATTTTAGATTTAGGAAATCATAAAGATAGTGAATTAATAATATATGAGTATTTTAAAAAGTAACCAATATAAAAATGTTTTGTTCTAAAAATTTAAATTACATTCGTTATTAACTTTTAATAACTATTCTTTCAAATTGTTTATAGTGTACATATTCGGGAGAAGAGGGGTTGTGTAGGGAGAAAATTTTCGTTGGCTCAATATATTATTTACGAGAACAGGCAACTTTTCGATTACCCCCACCTGTCTGCGCCTATGAAGATCAAACAGTGATCTATTCCTGAAGAACCCATAAAAGCCAATTTTACATACAATACAATTACTTAAAGAATACTATAAAATTATAAATACTTTGACAATAAAGATTCAATATGGAAAGCAAAAAATTAAAAAAGGTTAATATAACACATTATTAAATAAGATAATAGGATAGGATCATATATATGAGGTAAAATTTACATCCACTTGCACTTATAATATGGAAAAAAAAATTTTAATTACAATTTTGGAAATTTTAATGATAAGATATTAGGCAATAAGCTAAAAAATTTGTGAAAATAAAAAAATATTCAAAGATTATTCGAAAACGATTAATAATGTATATAATAAAAAATTATTCGATTCGTCAGTTATTAATATAAAATATTCGTTAGACACTACTATTCTTATATGTACGAAAATAAAATTTACTATTTCCATTCAATTCGAATAATTGGTTTTTTAAATATAAAATATTCATATGAAAGAATATCATTTTTTTAAATTGTACTTATAGAGAAAGAACATGCGATAAAATTATTAACGAAATTAAAATGCTTATTAATTAATTTACAACTGTTAAAGTATCTAGATAGCTAGTGACGCCCCGGTGTCATAGTTTTAATTGTGTTAAGACTTATTTTTAACCTTAAAGTAACAACCAGTCTTTTTTCATTTGTTATTCTATAACGCTGGATGGAGTTAGTCTTAAACGTAAGTTAATTAATGATAAAATATAATTAAAAATGTCTATATTAATTTTGCAGTAATTCAAAAAAGATTCAGATTCAGTTTTGACTTTTTCAAAATGGGTATTAAAAGTTCCAGTTAATTGCCTTTCCATAAACATTTGAGTAGTTTTTTTCCATGAACTATTTATCGCCTTCTCCCTTGAACTATTTAATATTTCATCACCTAAATTAAAAATTCCATTTTCTTTCTTTATCTTTAATAGCACGTTGGTCATAGACCTACCCAAATGTGAGCGTACGAGAATTATTATGCCGATTTTTTTACTCAAGGATACCAACAAACCTTATTATCCAGATATAAGTAAAAAGGGTGGGACTACACCCGAGCTATTTGTATATGTTAGTAACGAAATGAGTATAGCAAAGGAAGGAAAGAAGCTCAAGAGATTAATTAAATTATGTTGCCATAAAAATAACTTGTCACGGTGTCACAAGCTGAGTATTGACAGGTAAAGTGAGAATTGACAGGTATACTAAGAATGGATACGCAAAATGTAATCTTCTCATTTTACATGTCAATTCCCAGTTTCGTTACACTCATTTATCAAGTCATAATAAATCTATCAAATAGGTAGGCAGGTTAGATCACATCTGTCAGATATATACTTAAGCGCCATTTAGAAACATCACCCTGTCTAATTAGAGATTTCCAGCAGGGCCTATTTTTTTTTAAAAAATCGGTCTGGGTTGGGCCTAATATTTTTTCAAAAAATTCGGGCCGGGTTGAGTCAGGCCTTGATAAAATTTTAAAATATAAACAAATTTATCAATTGGCGCCATATTATTTTTATTTGTTATATTTTTTATTTTGAGTATAACTGGCTAAACAAAACTATATTAGACATTCTAAACATGAATATAAGCCTATCTCAGTTCACTCACCTAATTTAAAACAAAGGCTTCATTAATAAATTACTTAAATTAAATCAACTACCTTATAAACCGTTAATTTCCCTTTATATAAATAGTCCGTCCTTTTGGGGGTTCAGACTTTCCTTTTATCCTCTTCAATTATTTTATGTACAATTTCAGAGTTTGCATCATAGCCTTTGTGTTAAATGATTGTAAATATTATAAAATAATGTTTTATTTCAATTTAATGTTTATAAAAGCGTTAATGTCATATTGATTTTACATGTCCATTTAAATGTATTATGAGGCGTAAATTTAACATATTACCGATTAATTGATTTGATCAAATCGATCAAACTACATATTTAGTTCAAGACAACCTCTCTTGCATACCTAAACCTAACATTTTACACTCGTCTTGATGGTTATTCGATTTTATTTTGCTCTACGTAAGTCTTTGAATGAATATTATCTAAATAATATGTTATTGTATTCAATCATAAGCCAAATTTATATTATCTATTCATATTAATTATTTCAAGGTTTCTCTCAATACTAATTAATAGTAAAATTAATACAGCCAATATTACCCTCCCATAATCAAATTTTATTTAATCGGGCATGGGCCTTTTACCTTTCCTTTTATTTCCCAAGGGCGTTTAAGTAAGGGGCTTTGCCCCTTGCGCGCACAGGTAACTGCGGCCTGCCCAAAAAACGTGGATGGTTCTCTTAATTATTTCTCATCTTTTATCCTGGTTAGATGGGTTTTCCATGAGAGAACTAAGCGTTTCTTGTTATATATATATCTCCGATTATGACATTAGGGCTAGTGCCCTTAATATCACGTATTATTTGATTCAACTTTTTAAATTTTTTTTAAGATAAGGCGCTAAATTTTTTTATATAATAATTATAAAATAATTTTTTCTCTAAAATTTAAATTAAAATTATTTTATAAAATTGACTATGTTAAATGTAAAAAATATAAAAGTATATTACAATATAAAAGTATATCTAGTAATTCTCGACTAAATTTGAAGGTATAATACACTTATTATATTATTTTAAAGCGTTTAAGAACAAAAATGAAAACATGTTTGGATCTGAAACCGACAAATCCCCACTCAGGAATACTAAGACGAAGCGATCTTAAGACGTCACAAGTGAGTTAAGAATGACGATTAATCTTTTCCCAAAATAACTCATTATATTCAAAAAAAAACTAGATAAAAATATTTCCATAACTATTAAAATAAAAATATGTGATACCAAGATCTACTATTGCGCCTAAGACATGCGTGCTCTTGACTCTATACCTGAGAGGGCTTTATGAAAATGGCTCAACATTTTATTTGAATTGGATCTATTTACAATAATATTGACTGTAGAGAAATTATTTTCCATACAACTACTTTTTCAAGAAGTGCAATGTGGCAGATCAAATTAGAAATTTAGTGAATAAATTAAATAGTCAATTATTTGATAAAACTACTCAGCTACCACTAATATATGGACAGATTCCTTCAAGTAAATTTTCTATTTAACGGTTTCTTTATTTTCTAGTAAGTTTAAAGAAGAGAGAAAACCCGCAGAGAACATACATAAGGAATTGCTACAAAATTTTGCCGCGATTGGAATAATTCTTGATCAAGTGAAAAATATAATATTTATATCTTAAGGATATAATATCATTAAAGCTCCAGGAAAATATATTAGATTAAATTGCAGCTCATATCTGTTAAAAACAATTCTTCGAAATACTTTTGAGTAACAATCCTTGAAAATGATCTCTCCTAATATAGATCAAACCCTTATTTCTGTTAATAATTAGTGTATTTTAAACAAAGCTGTTATAAATTTAATTGTTTATTTTATTATTTTTGTAAAATGTTTATATTATTTTGGTATCATCTTGTGAATTTGTATACACATAAATAATAGATTTTATGATAAAAATATATTTGAAATTACTATTAATATATGTTAGCGGAAATACAAAAATATCTGTTGAAAATAGTACAAATATGAACTAAATATACTTTAAAAATCGCAGTCGATTAAAGGTCTAACGGATTTAAACCTGTGTTACAAAGATTGGTACGGAATTTAATGAATTTAAAAACACACCAAGGTTAACATCATTACAAGAAAAATCACCTGTTATTAACAACAATAGATAGGGTTAATACTTATAAAATACTGCCAAATTTATGTGCACCTGATAGTCCGGGAGAAAAAGAGATATTAGAAATATATAATATTTTGATAAAATTTTTTCATCCCAAAATATATAGAGAGAGATATAATTTTTATTAATATAATCAAAAAAAATGAGGAAAGGTTAATAGACTATATACAGAATCTTCAAAAATTATCAATGGCTTATATAACAAAGATAATTATCCGAGGATGATTTAGATATAAATAAGGCTATTCAAATAGATACTGCGGTAGAAACAGCTTTAAAGATACAAAATTAATACTAAAAGATGAAACTACAATTGATCAGTTAGAAGATGAACAGATAATAAAAATATAATAAAAAAGTTAATAATAATAAAATAAACAATTTAATTTTTATCCTAATCTAATGGTTTCGTTCGTATTCTTTTAAGATATCGATCTTGACCTAGTTTTTAGCTTTTGTGTGATAGTTCTTTCAGTTTCTTGACATGTATTATCCTACCTCTCCTTTATGTTCATTTCATCGTTATTTTTTTCCTGCTTGTTTGCTATCTCTTTGGTTCTCTCTTCCACTTCTTACTCTTCGGTTAATATATTTTTAGTTCTTTTCCTGATCAATATGACTTATAATCGTTTTACCCTCTATGCTTACTTTATATCGTAGTGATCCGCGTATGCTTTTAATAATGGCTTTTCCCCATTTTTTCTTTATTATTGTAAATGCGCGACCACATTTTTTCATTCATCTCAAATTTAAGTGCAAAACAATATAATAACTATAATTTGAGCTATAAAAAACCAAATCCCTGCCAATGCGGTGGAAACCATAGAAGGGAAAATTTTCCTTTAAAGAATACCATTTATTATAAATGCAACAAAATTGGGCACATTGCTTGAGTCTGTAGAAAAGAAATAGTGAATTTTATTGATAATACAACAAATAAATGTAATCTAAAATTTTGGGTGCATATCAAAATAAACAACAGTGATATCAGAATGGAATTAGATACTGGAGCTGGGGTAAGCATAATAAACGAAATAGATTGGAAAAATAAAATTAATCATCCTAGATTAACAAATTAAATGCTAAAATTTAAAAGCTCTACAGATACCAATATACCACTACTAGGTCAGACTATAGTAAAAGTACAATATAAAAGAAGAACATTAAAACTACCTCTCATAATTACAAAAGGATATACAAAAAATCTAATTGGTAAACTGGATAACTAAATTTCCAAAGATGACTTAAATACCTGAAGAGACCATAAAAATAAATAACATTAATAAAATGAATTTCATCCATTATTTACCAAAGAATTGGGCTGTTTGAGATTTTAAGTCAGTGAAAAACGATAAACCAAATTTTTGTAAATCACGCATTAAAAGAAAAAGTTGAAGAAGATTTAGACAGATTGATAAAAATAGGAGTAATAGAGAAAATTAATCATTCACTTTATGCCTCACCATAGTAATCGGTCAAAAGAAAGATAAAAAAACATTAAAAATTTGTAGGGATTTTAAAAGAACTATAAATCAAAATATTAATATTGATTCATACTCAATATCAAGAATCCAAGATTTTTTAGCCACCTTGGGAAAAGGAGAGGAATTTTCAATATTGGATCTCTCAGATACCTATTTTAAATTAAAGTGGGGTAAGAGTTTTAAAAATATCTTGTAATCAATACGGTTAGAGGATTATTTAAATATACAAGACTGCCTTTTGGTACATCGTCTTCTCCAGCAATATTTCAACGAGCCATCAAGAATTTATTGAAAAGTTTAGTAGATGATATTATAATAGCCGGGGAAAATAAAGAGAAGCATGAAACAGATTGTACTAAAATGTCTATACAAAAATGATATCAAGCGAAAGATAGAAAAATGTAAATTTTTCAAACAAAATATCGAGTACCTAGGACGCAATGAATCAAAAAACGGGATTACAACTACAGAAAAAATACTAAGGCAAGTAAAAAAAATAACCAGAATCAATAAACTTATAACAATTAATGTCACTTCTAGGATCAGCAACATCTATTCAAAATTTATGTCAAATTTTGAAGACAAAGTCAAACTATTATTAATTTAGAAAATGTAGTAGTTTAGAGATGGACAAATGATTGCAAAGACGCGTATAAGAAAATAAAGCAAGAAATTAGTAGTACTTCAATATTACAAAATTATGATCCTAAATTACCCATTATACTAGCAACAGATGCGTTAGCCTTAGTAATTGGGGCAATAATATCACATGAAGGGGAAAAGAAGAGACCAATTGCATTCGCATCAAGAACACTAAATGCAGCCGAGAAAAATTATACTCAAATAGAAAGAGAAGCTCTTGCCATCATATTTGGGGTTACAAAATTCAAAGAATTTATGGGAAAAAGTTCACATTACAAACAGACTACGTCATTAATGAGTTTATTTCATCCAAGAAAGATATACCAACAACATCCACTGCCACAATACAGAGAAAAGCTTTATTATTAGCAGGTTACCAATTGAAATATAATTCAAAAGTAGTCGTCAAACAACCAATGATGACATGTTATCTCGATTACCTATACAAAGAACCACAATATCAAAGAAACACACGATCAAATACAGGTGGGAGAATAAACACTTTTGAATGCAAACGAAATTGAAAGAAAGACACTGCAAGATGAGGTACACTTTAAAGTATACAGGTATACAACAGACGGATTGTCATAAAGGAGTATAGCCAAAGAAGAGAAGAAATCGCAACAGAGAGAGGTTTTTTACTGTGGAACTAAAATGATAATACAACAACTATACTGAAACAACGTGTTAGACATGATACATCTAGGACATATTAGAATGGTAAAAATGAAGATGAGGGCAAAACAATAGCTCAATATAAACCAAGATATAGAAACATGGGTCGAAAGATGTAGAGAATGCCTTGAACTACATGATATGCCTCATAAGACATCAATTGAAAATTGGCCAAAATCATCAAAAGCATGGCACCGAGTACATATTGATTATGCTAGACCATTTTAAAGTCATCATTATTTGTTAGTGATAGATGATAGCAGATGCTGACCAAAAATAATTCCCATGATTAACACAACCATCGAAAGCACGAGAAAAATATTAAGAAATATCTTTGCCAGAATCGGATTTCCTAAGATAATCGTTTCGGATAACGGGCCACAATTCAGCAGTAAAGAATTCAATGATTTTTGTGAAAAAACGGAATATATTTAGTGCATGGAAGTCCCTACCATGCTTAGACTAACGGCATGGCCGAACATTTAGTTCGACCTTTTAAATAGAACATAAATAAAAGAAATGAATGGTATTTAGAAACAAATTTAGCTCTTTTTCTCTACAATTACTGAAATACATTGGGGGCAGAAAATAAACAGTCCCTCCAAAATACTGCTAAAAATTAAACCTCGAGGATTGTTAGATCAAATATTAAAGCGGGGGAACAAAAAAGAAAAGTTAGAATACTATACTCAAAAATTCGAGATAAATGAAAAAATGTGATCTCACGAGGATTTAAATGATAATTTTTATCAAAACAATGAAATAAAACAAATAAAAACTAATTAAAAATATTTTATTATATAAATTTAAAATCGATATTTTGCATAAAATATTATGCAATAAATATAGAAAATTAAGAATGTTTTCATCCATGGAAAGATTAGAAGTAGAGAACTAATTCAAGAATGTAATTAATTCTGAAGAATATTGTAAATCTTCAATTGATACTATAGATTTGGATATACAAGGCGTTTCTCAAATTGTCGAATCTCCTAAAAGATCTAAAGATACATTAATTTCTAAATTGTTAAAATTGTTCTATCTATTATTTTTATATATTAGATAATGACTATGAAAGATGGGAGGACAATGAGGAGGAATATCAAAAAAAGGAAACAGATGAGTTCGAAGTTTATATGAATTTGAATATAAAAGAGAATACAGAAAATATAGATCCGGAAAAAGATATATTAAAATGGTGGAGTAAAGATGAAAATATATTTCCAAAAATAACAAAATTGGCTAGAGAGATTCTAGCATTTCCTAAAAAGATTCTAACAATTCCTGCAGTGTCCACAACATCAGAGCGAACTTTTTCAAAGATTGGAAGTCTATCAGAAGAAATAGATTGAAACAAGAAAATGTTGATGCTTTATTATTTTAAAATGATAAATATAAATATGAAAATAATTTATAGTTGTGTAATTTAATATTATAATTATTATCTGTTTAGTTTATAGTTATTTTTGATAGTTATACTTTAAATAAATAATTAAATACTAAATAAATTGTTTATTGAGATATTTGTAATACAAAATGTTATATAAAAAATTAAAAATAAAGCTAATAGTAAAAAACTAAAAAAATAATAATTAATTTGTATATTTAAATAAATTCTGAAGGACAAATAATTTTTATTTCAGAACAAATAAAAAAAAATTTGGGTTCGGATGGAAGCAAAACTTTTAAAAAGTCGGGTTCGGGCCGGGAAAACCTTTTTAAAAAAATTTTGGGCCGGGCTTGATAAATTAGGCCTGATGATAACTAGCTCTAATAACGAATAGCCTTAAGGCATTGTCATAAACAATGATCGGCAGTGCTTAGGTACTTCATTTTTCCAAAGATTTTCAATTTATTAGGATGGGATGCTTTATTTGTCTTACGTACCAAATTTTGAATAGTCTCAAATTCAAATACAAACTTATACCCCGCATGAACAACTTTTGACCATTCGTTAAAGGCAGGGACTTGTATTAATATAGGTTGTTCATCGCTCAATTCTATGATGTTATAAAAGTCTTTCGGCAACGATTTGCAAAGCAGCAACCTTTATTTTAATAAGTCCATGTTCATAATATATTTAACGTTAAATATTACATTTATTTAGGTTTTTTTTATTTTTATTTTAATCGTATATAAATATAAATTGTAAGATTATAACATTTTTCAAAAAGATATAATATAAAAATAATTAATTAATTTTTAAAAAATTCATATTAATGAATGTAGAAAATTAAATATATTGTATATATTAAACAATTTTTATAATAATAATAAACCGCATGATAGAACATTTAAAAAATTTGAATAGCTGCTTATTTTACGATATAAAATGACATAAATTTAAAATTCATGTAAAAAATTTTTGTTCAGCAAGAATAAGGATGTATCTTTCTATATGTATAAGCATTTATTTATATATTTTTTGTTTTTACTAATAATTACATTCTGAAATTTTTTTACTTTAACAATCTTAATATAATGAAAATAAGTTAAATCTGAATTATAATGAGTAAAAATATAATTCTATAATTTTAATTAATATTATTTTTTACTATTTTTTAATTTAAAGATTGTTAATATCTCTGACTTTTTTTCCTATTATTTTTATTCCTGATCACTATTATATAGATAGGGTGTGGCTTTGAATCAAAATTATTATTAATTTTTCTTTAATTATTTAGGTTTCCATAAATTTCTTTTGAACCCATGCAGGTAAAAGAGAATTTTTAAACCAAACAAATACTCATGTCTCTGCAGTGTACATTTTTTAAATGAATCTTTTTATGTAACGTCTGCAAATTATCACAATTCTGGTAATTTTCATTTATCAAATTAAATAAAAAGGTTTTTACAGGATTTAAAAATTTTTCCATTAACAAAATATACGCGAAATCTAAATGGCTATAAATTTCTTTTAATCCAATACCTTAATTAATTCAAAAATACTATAACAATTAATTGTAAGTATATTATATATATATAAATTTTATAATGATTATTTTGAATGAATTAAAGCATTAATGATATTATCACGAGTAAAAATATAATTTTAATTAATATTATTATTTTAAAACATTATTTTTACTATTTTTTAATTTACATAAATAATATTATTAGCTACGACTCCTTTTTTTTCTATTATCTTTATTCCTGATCATCACTTCATTATTATATGGAATGATGTGACTTTGAATCAAAATGCTTATCTTTTTTTAAAATCATCTAGGTTTCCAATTAACATAAGGCTCTTTTAAGTTAGGGAGCCATGAAGTTAAAAGAGAATCTTTTAAACAGCATATGCTAGATCAAGAATTAGGATCCCTTAGTCATTTCCAAATATTTATTAAACTCATAGTTCCTGGATATAAAAACATTTTATTTCATCATCTCGAGAGAAAAGAAAGCTTAAATTATAAAATAAATATTAAAAATAAATTAATTGTAAAAATAATATTTTTATGCCAATAATTTTTTTTTCATTATATTAAACCTATTTTCCTGTTTTTTCAAATTATGTTTTTATGAATTATGTGAGGTTATTTTTCTTGCATTTTGTAAGTTATCAATTTATCTATTTTTCCAAAAAAATAAAAAAAGTTTTACCTTAATTTTAATTTATGCATTTTATATTAAAAAATATATATTCATATTCTGTTATAAATTAAATCGCTATTTTTGTTATATAAAAATATATATATTTAAATTTTTTAAATGCTCCATATTGTGGAAATTTCTTATCACTTATTTTTTTTATTATATATTATTATAAAAATTGTTTAATACAGGGACGAGAACCATCCTTCTAAAAAAATGGGTTCGATTTCGGATTTGGGTTCAGTAAAAAATCTTTACCCGGTTCGGGTTCAGGTGGGTTCAGGGTTCGGAGACCAGAAAAATAATGACTTATTAAAATTAGTTAAAATAATAGAAACATCATTTTTTAAAAAATTTTAGTTTAATTAGTATCGCCATAAAAATATCATAATTATAATATATTATATATAATATCGTCGGTCTAGAATTGGAGTGTTCCACTCGACATTTTCAAAATTTTTGAGTTAGAAGTGGATAATAACTTATATTTTAATTTAACATGTTTACAATATATATTTTTACCTATTTACTTTAAAAAAATTCAAAAAAGTTCAAAGATAACGATTATGATAATTGCCACTTTTCTATGGTACATCTTCACTGAATTCTTAATCTAATATGTTTACAATATATATTTTTACCTATTTACTTTAAAAAAACTCAATAAAGTTCAAAAATATATATTATGACAATTGTCACTTTTATATGGTACATCTTCACTGAAATTTTAATTTAGCTTGTTTACAATATATATTTTTAGCTATTTATTTTAAAAATATTCAAAAAAGTTCAAAGATAACGATTATGACAATTGTCACTTTTCTATGGTGCATCTTTACTGAAATTTTCATTTAACTTGTTTACAATATATATTTTTACCTATTTATTTTAAAAAAATTCAAAAAAGTTCAAAGATAACGATTATGACAATTTTCACTTTTCTATGGTACATCTTTACTGAAATTTTAATTTAACTTGTTTACAATATATATTTTTACCTATTTATTTTAAAAAAATTCAAAAAGTTTAAAGATAACGATTATGACAATTGTCACTTTTCTATGGTACATCTTCACTGAAATTTTAATTTAACATGTTTACAATATATATTTTTACCTATTTACTTTAAAAAAACTCAAAAAAGTTCAAAAATATAGATTAGGACAATTGTCACTTTTCTATGGTACATCTTCACTGAAATTTTAATTTGACATGTTTACAATATATATTTTTACTCATTTGCTATAAAAAAATTCAAAAAAGTTAAAAAATAACGCTTATGACAATTGTCGCTTTTCTATGGTACATCTTTACTGAAATTTTAATTTAATATCTTTACAATAAATATTTTTACCTATTTAATTTAAAAAAATTCAAAAAAGTTCAAAAATATCGATTTGAAATTTTTATATAAGTTTACCTAAAAAATTAGCGATCAAAAGATATATCAGAAAAAAATACGTAAAAAATAATCTTAAATAATATTTAAAAATAAAATAATATTAAAAATTAGCGATCAAAAGGTATATCAGGAAAAAATACGTAAAAAATAATATTAAAAATTAGCAATCAAAAATCATTTTATAAAAATATTATATTTAAAACAAATTATATTATCTAAAAAAAATTATAAATTAAGTAAAATAATAATCTTAAAAAATTATTAATAATAAATAAAATATTATTAATAATATAATATTACAAAAATAATACATTGCCTAAAAAAACCAGGCAATGTACACTTTGCCTAAATTACTAATTCACCCTGCCTACCACCGTAACACATTGCCTAAAATAATCAGGCAATGTGTACTAGAGATCCGGCCCGGCCTTAAAAATTTTATTAAATATATCTAAATTTATTAATTTTATGTTGAATTTTTCATGTAAATTAAAAATATGTGATTTTATTTATAGAAAGTAGACGCCATATAACATCTTTTATTTTGAGTAATTATAATAATTAATTACTATATTTAAATAAATTCGGGCCGGGCCGGGCAAAACTTTATAAAAAAATTTCGGGCCGGGCTTGAAAAATTAGGCCCGATGCAGATCACTAATGTGTACATTGCCGAAAATAACACATTGACGCATATATAAAAATAAAAACTAGATTAAAAAATTTTTAATTTTTGCCAAAGTTATTGTCAAAATTGATAAATAAATATTTCCTATATTTGATTTTCTCATTTTAAACATTAAAATTTTTGAATTAGAAGATAATAACTTATTTATTCCCAATATTTATAAAAATAAAAACTAGATTAAAAAATATAAATTTTTGCTAAAGTTATTGTCAAAATTAATCAATAAGTTTTTCCTATATTTAATTTTAAACTTTAATGTTGATTTTCTCTTATTAAACATTTGGGTAAGTGGAGCACTCCAATTCTAGACCGAAGATATAATACAATGCCATTTAAAAAATTATTAAATATAACAAAAAATATTACATAAAAAATGACCCAAAAATATTTTTTTAAAATTAATATTTTTAAAAACTATTGTTTTGAAAAAGAACTCTTTTTAAATAGGAAATCTTTTATTTTATAAATAAAAATCGTAAATTACATGTTTTTTATATTATATTATTTTTAACATAATTTAAAAAAAATAAAATGAAAGTTTAAAATAAAAAAATATATTTAATAAAATTAAAAAAAAACTTGAACCCTAAATTTTAAAAAAGGGTTTGGGTTCGGCGAAATATTGAGGGTTCGGATTCAGGGTTTGGGTTCGGGTTCTCGTCCCTGGTTTAATATATATAATTAATTTTCTACATTCATTAAATTATGAATTTTTAAACAAAGGTTAATTATTTTTATATTATATCTGTTGTGATGTGATATGTTATAATATCCATGTTCATGTATATGTAAATTTAATTTTTCGTATATTTACATGGAGAATTTATTTGGTTAAAGTTTTTTTGAGATAATTTATATTAGACATATAATATGAATGTTTATAATGTAATTTGGTAAATTTTTTACTAGAAGAGATATTATAGACTATGTAAATTTAAATTTTTTAGAAAATGATTATTTTAGTACGATAATTATTATGAGATTACTAATCATTAATATTTTCATGTTCTTTTTACAATTTTTATTTTGAGATTTTTTTTATATAATTTTTTATTTTTTTATACCTTTACTTTTATGGTTTTAAATTATGAAAAATTTAATTTGGTGAATCAAAAAGCTCGCCAAAATATATATATAAATTAGGTTTGCTTTTTAAAATCGAGTAAAATCTCACTTCCACACGAATATTTGAATACAGGTCGGTAGATATTATAAAAGTAGGCATTGCACAAAGCTTTAGCAAACTAAAACGAATAAAATTAGGCGGCATCTCAGTAGAACAAATTAGAAGCGTTTCTACTTTTGTCAATGGAACTAAAATTATTTGACTATATTCATTTTGAGCTCATTTATTCAGGAAAACATTCATCATTATTACATAATTTATCAACCACTAATAAAAATATAAATTTTATTTTGAATAAAATTTTATATGTGAAGTTAAAGTTATATGAAACATTAATTCATCCTTTTTACTGAAATTATCAGTTGTCTTAATATTACATTTTATATATAATATACGATTAAAGATGAGAAATATTTACAATTTTTCAGCTAAGTAGACAATGGTCAATTGAAGACTTTTCAAAAAAATTTGTCTACAAATTTTCTAATGGCGTATAAAAAAAACCCAAAAAATATATTGCTCCCAATAAAAATTTTACCTCCCCCCCTCCAGTGGCGTAGCTACGGGGGTGGTTTTTGGGTTTGGACCCCTCCCAGAGCTAAATCTTTTTTCTAGATTATACGTTCAAAAGACTTAAAAGTGACTTTATATTAAATAAATGCCATTAGTATTTATATTTTTCTGGTTTTGATGTTTGTGGAAGGATATTATATTACTATTGAAATTATTCTGGATAGTATTATTATAAAGTCATTGAGAATAATCTACTAAATTATAATAACATATTATTGATGCATTTAAAAAAATATATTTATTATATATTATAGAAGATATGGTTATGATTTGTAAGATTAACCCCCGAAGGCCGGGGGAAAGGGCCGAAGGCCCGTTAAAGGGGGCCTGGGGGGCGAAGCCCCCCAGACTTTTATATGTATGGACCCCCTCTAAGAAAAATTCCTAGCTACGCCACTGCTCCCTCCCTCTTCAACTGAAGCTTCCTGGCTACAGGTCTTATCACTTTACAATAAAATAAAATATGTGATGTAGTGTAATACAAGTTTTTTCCCATTATTAAATTAGTTAAATAATAATATTAACCGACCATTTTGGTCGAGTTGCCAAAATATTTATCGCAAAAACATTGTCATAAGAATAAGTCCTTAGAGTAGTGTTGTTTTGGATCGATTTTTAAAATGGTCTGATTAAGATTTTAGTAAGATTTTAGCCAAAATATTATATAAACCTCAAGATTTGGCAAATAGAGATTCAAACCTTTCAGCCATATATGAGTAAAATCTCCGGTATTACATAGTACTATTTAGGTTAAAGTCTTAATCAGGCCGTTTTTTTAAATCTACCCAAATCGGGCAGTTTAACAACACTACTCTAGATTCATGTTCGCTCCGATTTGATAACCAGGCCGCAGCTAATCCTTACTTAAATTTCTATTGTTTTCATATATATTATATAAATAAAAAAAATGTTAATTAAATATATAATTTAAAATGGTTTACGAAAATACTTGATCTTGGAAATTATTTTCATTATTGACTATCATAATACCTGAAATTTTTATATAATATTTAGAAAATATAAACTTTATGTAATAGAGTGTTTTATTTTTTTTGCGCTCATCATAAAGTTCTATTACAAAAACTAAAAAAAAGGCTCATAACTGTTCCCTTCAGACGATTTTGGTATTTTTATGATATATCTAAATACGCAGTTGAACTGTTATAATATATATTATAAACTATACCTATATAACCGTAGGCCCTACTCCCTTTTCCTTATCATCTGCCCTAGGAAGTTCTTTTCAGTGTTAAAAAAATTATCCCACTGTCCAAAATGTGAGTTTTTGCATATGATAATATATATCTAATTACTCATATTCATACTTTAAAAAAAATCGATTATATATATCTCATATTTTTTGATAATATTAAAAAATCGAGTCTCACCCCCATCAATTTTTTCAACAATACACCACTGTAGATGGTGTTTTTATGTTAAATAAATTTTATATAAGGTATTTATTAGTTAAATAGAAAGAATCTATATCTATAATATTTTATATTAGTTAATGTTTTTTTATTTAACGTTTCTAGTTATATAGTCTCTTCATATAGTGGTCTTTAGCAAACATAGTAGGCATTTTTAATATCATAGTAACTTTTTTCAATATCATAGTATTTTTTTTAAAATGTATTGCCTTTTTTCATAACAAAGTGTTCTATTTTCAAAATCATAGTGTTTTTTTTTGAAAATTTAAATGCCACTTTGTAAAAAGAAAGTGCCTTTTTATAATATTTTTTTTTAAAAATGTTGAATGAGAAAATTTGAGTTTTCCAGATAATTTTAATTTAAAAGATATTTTTGATTTTATAATTTATTTTTTGTTTTAGAGATTAATTTTTTGCTTATTAAAAATGAAGATGAAAAGGGGCCTAGGGAACCGCTTTGAAAAAAAAACTAGGAAGTGGCCTAAGAAAATTAATATATAAATCTCTATGAATATTTGTGTTTAGGATAAAAGCATTCATTGAGGTCTCTTGTTTCTTATTGAGTTTAACTCTTAACACAAGCAATACATAAAATTTTGCAAATGGGTGGGGGTGGTGGCAATATTAATATTATTAAGTATGTTTCCTGTATTGTCAGGCGCGTACGCAGGAATTTAATCTGGGGGGGGGATGATAAAATTTTTTAAGAAATATTATTGTTTTTTAAAAATATCAAGCATAAATTTATTAGGACTAATAACTATTTCTAATACACAATTTTAAATTAATGTGAATTATAAAAAAATTATATGTAAAGAATCACTTAAATGACCCAAAATAGAAATTTGAATTTTTTGAGCCTTTACACAAAAAGTTTCTTAGGAATAATTGTATTTTGTATGTTATATATTTACAATGTAAAATCCAATCTTCGTTGTGATTGAGCTAATTTTTTAATTATCTCATCCTTGCTTGTCGTCAAATGTCTATGAATATTCAAAAGATCCAAACCTTTCAATCTACTTTCAGATGTTGTACTTCTTGGTATGTTTTTCAGAGATCTGCATGCCCGGCCCCTGGGTCGGACATTATTTTAATTTTTTTAAATATACCCGAGCCGGGCCCAAAATTTTTTAAAAAAACACCCAAGCCGGGCCTGAATTTTAAAAAAAAACACCCAATCCGGGCTGTATTTTTTAAAACAGCCTATATTTGAAATCGTTATTATTAGTTGTAAAAATTAAAAATAAATATAATTTATTTTTTAAAACCACCTATATTTGAAATCGTTATTATTAGCTGTAAAAATTAAAAATAAATATAATTTATTTTTTAAAACCACCTATATTTGAAATCGTTATTATTAGCTGTAAAAATTAAAAATAAATATAATTTATTTTTTAAAACCACCTATATTTGAAATCGTTATTATTAGCTGTAAAAATTAAAAATAAATATAATTTATTTTTTAAAACCACCTATATTTGAAATCGTTATTATTAGCTGTAAAAATTAAAAATAAATATAATTTATTTTTTAAAACCACCTATATTTGAAATCGTTATTATTAGCTGTAAAAATTAAAAATAAATATAATTTATTTTTAAAAAATCCGGGCCAGACCTTAAAATTTTATTTTAAAAAAAGTCGGGCCGAGCCTGAAAATTTTTAAAAAGAATCCAAGTTGGGCATAAAATTTTTTTTAAAAAAACCCAGGCCAGGCCGTAAAAAATCTTTAGAAAAAATCCGGGCCGTGACCTGCAAATGGTACTTCTGCAGGCCTCTGTTATTCTTCTTAAAAAAGAGAATGTTCTCTCATTAGTTTACTAATGGGAAGAATTTATAAACCCTTTTAATACATTGGGAATTTAATCTAAAATGTGTTTGAAATAATGCAGAGCATCCATAGAATTTTTTGGGACTATATCAACCATAGTTAATTTTATAAACATAATTGTTCAGCTAGTAAGGCATCATAAGATACTTTAACATCTTCATAATAAAAATCTAACAAATATTTTTTTTTCTATCACCATCTGAAAGTGGGAAGGCTTTTGTGGAAGTAATATTTGCAGATTAATAAGTGCTGCATAATGAAATAAAAAATCATTTATTTGGGTTATAATTGTATCTGTATTTAAGATATACTCTTCTACTGATTCTATATTAATGTTTTAACGATGAGCTTGCCTTGCTACAAGTCGAGGGAGACAAATATTAAACACTTATAGTCTGCTTTTAACTCAACAATAAAATATAAAATATGAAATTCTTCATCAACATTAGCCCTAATTTTCTTGAGTTCTGATAAAATGCTCTCCGCTATTCTCATCTTCTTAATCGAGTCAATGTCATGTTTTTGAAAAGTAATACTTAAAATAGTTGTATAATTAAATAATATATTCTACTGAGAAATAAAATTTGGAATAAGCATTGAATCCAATAATTTTCTTGCTTCTGAGGAAATATTTCTTTCAGGCCATTGTGATATTTCAGTAATAGCAAATAATTGGCTCTTCTAACTCCCTAAAAGCTGTTACTGCTTGATGGCAGAGATTCTATCGCGTTGGACAAAGTTGCAATTTCTTTTTCACTGTTGGACAAGAAGTTTCAGAAATAATTATTATTTGACTAGAAATTTGAAAATGGTAGATAAATATTACGCCACTAAAAATTTGAAAATAATAAGTAAATATTACGCCGGAAAACTTGAAATCGAAATTAATTGATAAAATAACTTAGTTAAATGTGATAATAAATGTAATTAAATATATATTTAATATGAGATACGAATAAATAACAAATATAAATAAATATAAACAATAATATTTTTGAAAAATATATCCGGCATCTGCATTTTTTGGTTGGGGAGGGATTTGTCCCCCTGCCCCTACCCCCCCCCCCCCCGCTGCGTACGCCAATGTGTATTGTTATTTAGTAAGAGAAAATTGTTATTTTGTTAAATTTTTACCAAAGTAACGGGGCTTATCATGAAAAAATATGAACAACTAATGTTCAAGTTCTTATTTAAATCTATTGATTTGGTTGAAATAAAATTAAGTGACCCTCATTAGCTCAAATTGATGTATAAAAGTTTAGTTACTTTCACAATTTCTAACAGATTATCCAGCTCACGCTTTGAATGATTTAAAAGATCCGAAAATTTATTAATAATTTTTTATAAATTAGAGATGCACAGGTATCTATACAAATGTCGATAATTAAAATTTTTACCTATACTACTGGATAGCGTTTTTAAAAGGCTAGATTTAGCAGATTTAAAAAAAAAAACTAGATCAATATTTTAGCAAAATAATTTATACTTAAGCCTCTATATCTTCCCAAAATAGGGTCCAACCTCTCTCCTATAGGCTTAGGTAATATTTTAGGCAAAAATCTTTATTTAATAATATTTAAATATATGACGAATTGAGGTTTCTAACATCACTGCCATTGGCTGATATAAGTTTATTTATTATTGTAAATATATATTTATATAAGAAACGACCCATAATTGCATTAAAAATATTTTTTAATTGTTATATAATTTTTGTCATAAGCGCCATCTAGCAGAAAAAAATTTATACAAAATTTTTTTTTAAAATAATCAAAAGAATTAATGAACTAAGTGCATCGTTGAAAAAATTACAAAATATTTAGCTAGTAAATAATTTTAAATGCAAGTAATTTTCATATGAAATATTTTCTTAAAACGTTTATATGTATATATCACATTATTAGTGAAAGAGGTAATGTATCATTTATTCTAAAATAACATGTGTTTAAAAAAATGCCCTCTTTCTCTGTATCCCTATTCATGCTGTTTAAAAAACCAGTTTTCTGTAATATTGATCGATGGGAGTTATAACATTATATAATAATAAATATGATTGATCCAGGAAAAAAAATATTCACTTTTACTTTCATATAAGATCACGAATATAATTATCATTGAATAATTTCCTAACATTTCCAGTCGTCTTGAAAAATCTACTTAAATTGAATTGAGTTATAATAGGATAACGGTTACATAAAATTTCAATCCATAATTGGTTGTATTTAGTAAAAGAAATTTTTAATCATATTTTACTTGGCAAATAATTCGATTAATTGTTTTTTCTAAAATTATTTTATATTTTTTAACTGCAGATAGGACAAATTTCTTAAATTTATTTTATTTAACCTTGGCAGAAAAGGTATTATGTTTATATTTCGTTCCTATCGAAAAAAAAATTAAGACAAACAATAATTACTAATTTATCAACTTTTTATATCTAGGATAGTTATTTTAAAAATGATCACTTTAAAATTAGATATATAATTTATTATATAAATTAACGAAGGTGTAAAATTTTTAATATCGGGACCTAACATTGTTTTTAATCTACATAAAAATATAAAAACTATTTTGCTAATTTTGATTTTTTTTATAAAACAATATATTTTTCAAGTTCAATGCTATATAATAATTAGAGTAATAAAATGCAGATGAAAAAAAATATTAGTTTTAAAATTATCCTTAAGTGTTTTATGCATTGAAGTAGTGTGATCAGCAGACCTAAATTTTAATTCAAACGTGCATTAAAAAATTTTTTTTTGCTAACTCTTCCTTGAACACGTTAAAAAAAGATTCTTTTCACGCTGAAATGATGAGTTCTAGCGAAGCCACTTTTTTAAACATATTAAGCGTAATGATTATTAAAATATACATAAAAAATAATGTAAAAATAATTCAAGCCAATATTTTCCTGTTTGAGATTTTTTTTATACATTAAATTATCATTTTAAAGGTCAAAATTATTTTGAACTTTTGTAAGCTTAAACGTAAAAATACATTTTTATAAATGAATTAAAATAATGATAGGGAGTTAGTTTATTAAAAATAAGTTTTTATTGCCGATTTTTAAATCGAAACTTGTAAAATCACATTTTAATACATATTACTAGGTTTAAGAAACTTGTAAAATAATATAATTATAAATGAGCTTCTTTATTAATTGATTTATAATAAAACAATTCTTTTTTTCTAACAATGTAAGAATAATTTTATCAATGCGTTCATCCCACCTAAATTTTCGCTAGATCAATCAATTGATTAAAAGCTTACGATTTTTTTTAAAATTATAATAAATTTAAATATTAAACGCATTTGCTTGACAATTGTTATATTTAATAAATATTTTTACATCATGTTTTTCCCACTAATTTCAAAATAAAGCACTCAATCTCTTCTTTTTATATAACAGACCCGATAGAGCGGAGGTTGCAAGAAGAAGAGAGAACGGAAGAAAATGGATAACTCTATCATTTAAAACGATGACACAGATTGCAATTAAGAAACTAAAGAATTAATTTATTATATAGAAACAAATACAGAATTACTGAATTTTATTATATTTAATACAAAACGTAAAAAGTTAATAATAATTATTTTATAATGCAATCGAGCTATATACATTATCTTCATTTACGTATTTAAAAGAAAAAACATTTAATATATTTTTAACAATTTTAATCGATCTTTCTTTTTTCATTTTCAATTAACTTTACCAAATAAAATTTGCATATAAAACTTCATGATAACTACGACATTCTTCCCCTTTATTTTGTTATTCCTACGGCCCCGTATTTGTTCCTTGTTCACTTATTAAACGCGATACTCCCTGTTATCTTTCCATTATCGATTCATCGTTTATTGCTATCACATGTTCCGAATAAAATCTCATCAGAGGGTTTCCACAGCAAACCCTGCATCTTCTTGGTCTTGTCAATGTGTATGATATCCTCTTTGTTCCTATCTGTTCTTCTTGAATCTTTTATCGACTTCTTCTAGTATCATAAATTATCTCCGTAAAATCGTCGTGTTTATTCTCTTGTTGCTTCTAACCAATTTCTAGACTCTGTTGAGCCATCTATCACTCTAATCTCTATTTTCACTATATAATTTCATACTCTTATATATGACGCCATCTAAAAATAAAATAATTATTAATATATTATTCCATCCCCTCTTATTCCTTTTTTCTTCTTGACTTATTCTTTAACTTTCTATACCTGACTTATCTGCACCGTCTTCATTTTTCCAAACATTTTCCCTTTCGTTTTTCAAATAAAAACATTTCCTTTTTCAAAAAAAAAACCTAAGTCCTTTCTTTTTCACAATCTTTTCGTTTTTCAAAAAAAAAACTAGTCTTTTCTTTTTTACACTATTTAGTTTTTTAAAAGAAACCAAAGTCTTTTCTTTTTTCACCCAAATTTTTCGTACACTTCTTTTCTCTTTATAGTTCATATCTTGGTCTTACTTGTTTAACATATCTCACCCATGTTCCGGTTTGTCCTTCTATCTTCACTTCAATTTTATTTCTTCCTCTATTTTTGTCACTATACCTTTGCTCCATTTTATTGGGTCCTTCAAACATCAAAACCTATAATAACTTTCCTACCTTTCATTTCAATCTATTATTATTTGTTCCACCTGCTTTGCTTTTTCTTTTAAAAAATTTAACTCTGTTCTTGTTTTTCTTCCTAAAAATATCTCTGCTGGTGATCCTATGACAGTCTTTGTATTATTATATGTTAAGAAAAATATTCACCATTTACCTTGTCCATATTTTTCTTTTTTTAACCAACTCTTAACTATGGACATTATACGTTCGGCTTGCCCGTTGTCGTTCGTGTTACAATTTTATTTTTATTATTTAATCAGTTAACTTAAATTCAGTCTTGAATAAATAACATTTTTGTTTTATTTTCGTTTTGCGTAACTTAAAATGATTGATTAATTATTTATTATTTTTATATTGATTCATTTAAACAAATTTAAATTGTTGACAAAAAGAGATATGTAAAGAAGATAGGCTTTTGAATTAGACAGTCATGTATTATTTATGATATAGTTTTATATTATTTATGATCCAGTGATACATTATTTATGATCCAGTGATACATTATTTATGATTCAGTGATATAGTGACATGTTATTATGTGAATTAAGATATATATATTAAAAATATTATTTATGATACATATACTTTTGATACTACTGGGATACGAATAAACTCACAGAAAACATTATTTGATTTACATTCAAATTTATCCACTCAAATTACCACGAATTTCTCTCTTTAAACAACCATAAAATGTTAATATCAAAATTTAGGCATATTAATAATCATTCCTAAATTGAAATTAATGATATTTAACAGAAACCTGCATGCTCGGTTCTACACCTGACCGGGTACATGGGCCCGACCGTATTTTTATTTTTAAATATACCCGAGCCGAGCTTAAAATTTTTTTAAAAAATATCCTGGCAGGGCCCTATTTCTAATCGCCTAGCTATAAAAATTAAAAATGAATATAATATATTTTAAAAAAAATCCGGGCCGGGTCTAAATATATAAAACCTAGGCCGGACCGAAACACCCCATCCATATTATAAAGTGAGAAGGGGACAAAATTAAAGTATGCAAAAATTATTAAATAAAAAAAGATCTCACAAATCCCTAATTTCTTTTCTAGTTAGTTATACCTAAGTAAATAATAATTTCTTATTTTTATTTATTTGCACCAATATATGTGTGCACTTTTACCTGAATTGTGCAGGTTTTGATTTTTTGAAACATTTTACTTGTGACTCTCCACGTTGGACAATGTTAGGTTTTGTGTATTTTCATGAAATATCTAAACATAGTGTCAAAAATGAAACAAAGACGATTCAAATGTTAACTATATCAAAAAAATTACTAAAAATAACGAAATTCTAAAATCCCTGTAATTAGCACATCATCCATGTAATAAAATACACCCTCTAGTCCTTGGAAAACGGACGCCATGGTGCGCTGAAAAATAGGCGCTGACACACTTAACCCAAATGGTAATCTACAAAAAGCGAACAACCCTTTGGGAGTCGTGATCGTCAATAATTTACGAATCTCCTCCCTCAAAGGTAATTGTAAATAGGCTGACGAAAAATCAACCTTTGAAAAATATTTCGCTCCCTTCAATTGGGCCAAAATTTCCTCAATTCGGGGTAAAGGATATTTAACTTCTGCTACCCATCGATTAACGGTTACTCTGAAATCAGCACAGAGTCTCAATTGACCATTTGATTTCTTAACCGGTACCAACGGGGTTGCCCATACACTATATTCCACTGGAACAATAATGCCATCTTTAACCCACTGATCCAATTCTGCGTCAATTTCCTTTTTCCATTCAAAAGGAACTCGTCGACACGGTAGGAAAATAGGTGAAAATCCCTCCCTTAATTTTATATCAACTTGATAATCATTAAGACAACCTAATTTGTCTTCGAAAATTATTTCATACTTCCTCATTAAACGAGAAATATTTTCACGCATTTTATGTAAGTCAGGAATATCAATAGCAACCATTGGGTCTTCATCAATGCTGGCATTGTTTTCAATCATAAGTTCTGTGGAATTTACATATTTATCGGAACTAGGGGTTGAATTATCTGGTTTTACGGTGAAATCTACCCCTTCTATTTCATGAATCTTTTTCCGAGCAATATTTTTAGGTTTAGTCTCGTCTCGGACTGAACCATTATGTATTGCAAAAATATTCCAATAATTATTGAAAGGACCCAACTGAACAATCCAATCCCATCCCATGATGGTTTCCACATCTTTCTTTACTACCCATAAATCTAGAAAAAATGTAGTATCATGAAGACTTACTCACAACTTAGTTTTTCCCAAAACTATTATTTCAGACCCATCAAATTGTGTGACACACATAGATTCTTTTTCAAGTTTACCTTTAGGCCAATACTTAAAATAATTTCTTCCAGACATTATAGAAATGCTAGCCCCTGTGTCGAACAACATGTCAATATCCCTCGAGTCAACTCTTACGGTAACTCTGGGACAAGGACAAGGTTCGACTAATCTTTCAGTCATTAAAATATCATATGTTTTAATTGACTGATCAATTTTAATCTCATTTGAAACATCAGTTTCATGAGAATTCTCATTTGAACATAAATTCAACTCGGAATTTAGTGGTTCCTTAACAATATTCATATTTTTTCTT